CATGCACCCCAAAGGGTGAATGCACCGTGAACTCCCAAACCATGTCACTTGCCACGAAATAAATGGACCTCAAATGATGTGTCTCAGCTCCCAAGCTGGGCGGGTTCTGGCCCTTCTGCGGCCACAACAGGTAAGAGGGCAGGAGAGTTCTTCCTTCGCCGGGACTGCCCACGGGGTGCCCCCCGGGGGCCTGGCAGGTGTTTGGGGCTGGCGCTTTCCTTGGTTCTTTGGGATCCCCCACGGACACTCCACTCTCCTGCCCATGGCCCAGCAAATGCCCCCTGGCCCCCACTTACCTACTCCCTCGCCATCTTCATCAGCCCCAGGGGTCATCTCCGGCCTTCCTGTCCTTAGCCCTTCATATGGCTGCACACGGGACAGGGTTTCCTACAGGGAATCCCAGCTTCCCATGACCCGAGAGCAGGCTGTCCACCGGGCCATCCCCACTAACTTCTAGAACAACGACAGAGCTGTCACTTATACTGCGGTCAGGAAGCTGGGGCACCTGCAAGACACCCCCAGGGCTGCTGGCTGCAGGGATGCACCACCTTAGCTGCCACCTGGGGGTCCTCCCCTTCCTCCCGGAGTCCTGCCAGGTCTGCGCTGGCAGAGCACCCACACCTGTGCCCGTCTCTTGGGGCTCTGAGATGGGGGTCCAGATCCCCACACCTGGCACCGGAAAACCCAACACCTGCCAGGCCGCGTTTCCTTCGCCGGCAGAGCATGGCTGGCACCGAGCTCCGCCATCCAGAGCTCCCGGGAGCGCACGGATTATACGCTCATTTGCTCCCTGCCCTCCGGTACCCGAGGGCCTCGGGAACATGCCTGGTGTCCGAGCCTCTGCAGGCAGGAAGGAGGGGAAGGAGGCTGAGTGCTAACCCACAGGCATCTTTCCTTACTGGTGAGAATCAGCCACCTGCCCTCCACGGAGCAAGACCTGGGAGAGCTAAGACCCGTGACAATATCCCCTCAGTTATAGAGTAAAACAAAGGCTGTCTTAAGCATAATCACCGATTTGGAACAACTTGGGTAAAAATAGTTACATTTAATTGAAAGCAAAGTCCATTTTAGACATATAAAGACTTTTTTTTTAAGAAAAAAAATTTTTATGTCAGAGAGGGAGATAGAAACATAATGATGAGAAAGGATCATTGATTGACTGCCTCCTGCATGCCCTCCCACTGGAGATGGAGCCCGCAACCTGGGCATGGGCCCTGACCAGGAATCAAACTGTGACCTCCTGGTTCATAGGTTGATGCTCAACCACTGAGCCACACCGGCCAGGCTCTTCCACATTCCGGCCTAGCCTGCTGACCTGCACTGCCCTGTCACCAAAAGGTGACTGTTTCTCACCTCTGTCCCCCACAGTCACTTCCTGGGGCCAGGCCAGGCCACTCCTCTGCCCACCCCCCAGCTCAGTGCCTGGTCCAGGAATGCGAGCTGTGCGGCTGGCCCTCCCTGGAACTTGGTCACCTCCAGTTGTCCCTACAGCCCCGACGCCCACCTCCCACCCAAAAATGGGTTCGGTGTGTTTTCCCCAGATCCAGAGTCTCTGGAATCATTTCCCATCAGAAGCAGAACCAGAAGTCCCCTGTGGATAAAGCTTCAAAGTGGGATCTCTGACACTTAAAAAGAATTCTTTCACAATATAACGGATTACCTGAAAGACTTTGAAGACTTGGAAAATGAGCTATGTGCACTTAATACTATTGAGAATATAAGAATATTTGTATGGAGAAACGAGGTCAGAAATATGACCTTCTACGTCAAAAGAATATGTTTAACATTTTAAAAAATGATTTGAGAGAGAGAAAGGAAGAGAGAGAAAAACAGTGCTTCACTGTTCCACTCATCCACGCACTCGCTGGTTGCTTCTTGTATGTGCCCTGACCAGAGATCGAACCCACAACCCTGACACAGTGGGAAGACACTCTAACCAACTGAGCTACCCAGCCAGGGCCAAGAGAATATTTCTAACAAAACCTGAAAAATCTGCAATGGTATATATTTGCCCTTGCCAATGGTATTCCATTCTGACACACATATTTATATACATATGCATATTCTAATACATATATGTATATGTATAGGGTGTCCAGGTAACAGGCTACCTGGGCCAGTTAAAGGATTCCTTTGGCTAAATTGTGACATTCTGATCACCCTAAAAGCACTAACTACAAATAATGGAAAGAAATTGAGTCAATGAAAAGCCATTGGTGCATCCCAATATTCTAAGAGAAATCCATGTATGATATTAAAAGAACATGGCTATAAAAGACTATATTATTTTCAAATATCATTTTAATTTTCTCTAGGTTCTTTGTTCCTGCTAGATGTGCACAGTATGAGAAAAATGCAGAATTCCAACCAGTTCTAGAAAACTTATGAAAGCACTACATCTGGATATGAGGGGTCCAATGCAATGGGACTGGCTGCTTTTGCAGTCAGATGGGAAGTCATTTAAATAACCCCAAAAGTGCAAAATCCACTGAAGCATTGAAGGACATTAACCTCAAATCTGTGAGTAGACAGAAGAAGTGCTATTCTTTTAATCCAGCGAATGTGGGCCACGAGAGCAAGCACTTTTGGGGTGCAGTGGGGTGTCTGTTTTATGTACAGGTCCACGGAGTTGCAACTATTGTGGGTGGTAAGATTGAGCAATGCATACTGGATGAGGTTCCCTGCCCCCTTGTGGTTGTGTCTGGTAATAACGGGAACCAACAACTATTTCCATGTGTCAAAAAGTTTAGAAGAGCCCTGGCCGGTTTGGCTCAGTGGACAGAGAGACCGCCTGCAGACTGAAGGCTCCTGGGTTCAAGTCCGGTCAAGGGCACATGCCCAGGTTGAGGGCTTGATCCCCAGTACCGGGCTTGCAGGAGGCAGATGATCAATGATTCTCTCTCATCATTGATGTTTTTCTCTCCCCCCACACCCTTCCTCTCTGAAATCAATAAAAATATATTTTAAAAAAGTGTAGAAGAAATGTGGCTTTTCTGTGCTTTTGGCTGGAACTCTATCCATTCAGTCTGATAGCAGGCACGTCTCACACTGAACAGAATCTATGACTGCCAAACACATCACCACTGAGGTGCTGCTCAACAGACCAAACTTTCTAACGCTGGGTTCACAAAGAGGAAGGCCACGGGGATGGTTGTTGATGAAAATGGTGGAAAGCGCAGCAAGCTGGGGTTTCAGAAACGGGGGGTGCAAAACCTCGCTGGGCCAGACTTTAGACCAAATCACAAAACTCTGAGCCCAGTTTCCTCAGCAGAGAAACGAGGATGTGAACCACATGGTTTCTCAGGCCACGTCGGTCTCCTGGTGTTCTGAGAAGACAAAATGAAAACGTTTAAAAATGTGAAGCCATATCCCAGTCTGGAGTCATGTCTGTCCATAGTTAAGTAAAACCTTTTCACAAATGGGACTATAATAAATTATGTCTGTTATATTTCAAATAATAATAACAGAATGCATTTCTTTTTTTAAAATAAATTTTGATTTTTCTCAGAGAGGAAGGGAGAGAGATAGATTTAGAAACATCGATGAGAGAGAAACATCGATCAGCTGCCTCCTGCACACCTCCTATTGGGGATGTGCCCGCAACCCAGGCACATGCCCCCGACCAGAATTGAACCCGGGACCCTTCAGTCCGCAGGCCGACGCTCTATTCACTGAGCCAAACTGGTTTCGGCAAAGAATGTATTTTTCATTTGATGGAGAAGAAGGCTGCAAGAAAGCTACAGGGAAAGTGGAAAAGGGAACGGTCTTATTGAAAAGGGAACAGAGGTGACATGATGCCAGAGATACCTGAA